ATTGTACAGTGGCATTAAGTGCCGTAATGTGCACCTCTGCCTACCCCTTCGGGGATAAAAGGCGTGATGTTATGTTATGTTATCAAATGTTAGATGTCAGTTGTGAATGTCATAATGTCAATTTAGTCATGCAATGTGGAGCAATGAGCTGTCACACACACTACAGTCACTTTCGACGAAATTGTACAAAGGTCGATGATGATTAAGTTTATAATTGAAGAATATATTTTAAGTAACTATGGGTGTTTAAAATGACGAGTAACTCTGATGGCGACACACCAGTGACGTCTAAAAATACTAAAATATCTCATAAATAATTGTGGGAAAAACAAACCTACTCAGTAATTAATTAATGAGATGTGGCGGGAAGAGAAAAATAAAGCAAAATTATTTAAATGATTACTGTCAAAAAACTTTGCAAAATTTAATGATAACAAAAGATTGTTATCATGTTCTAAAACCAAATAAGAATACGTTTTTAACTAAAAAAAACATACAATTATTTGAAAAATAATACTTTATTTTTTCCTATCAAAACCAGTTTATACGTTTTTTTTTTTTGTCAAAAGACATTGACAACCCTAGGCGTGCACTCATTATAAAAGTGGATGTTAACACTAAAATAGTTGTAGGGTACATAAGTTTTTTTTTTTTAAGGGGGGATAATCATCGAATGACTGCTCCCGCCTGGGTGAGGCGGGAGGGAGTGTCAGACTCTTACTGACTAAAAACCACCCCGTTCCTTCTCCTGCACGTCGAGCCGGAGCCCCGGTTACCCGTTAGGTTCTCCGCGACAGGGTACATAAGTTTAAGTTGCAGTCAGCCACGGCACGAATTGGGCATCTCGATCGGAGTGATGCCATGACACGCAGACAACCGGCGTGAAACAACGCTTGTGTTAGTTCGTCGCGTGAGAAAGATTACCGGAGGCCCAATTCCGACATCTTATTCCTCTAACCCTAAAAAGAGGCCAGCAACGCACTTGTTACTCCTTTGGTGTTGAAGATATTTATAGGCGACGCCCATTGCTTACAATCAAATTACCCGTCTACTCGTTCGTCACCCTACCTATACTATATAAAATAATAAAAGAGTGACGTTATGCAAATATGACTGCATGCTTGGCGCAGAGGCTAGGCAATCTACTATTATAATCAATTTACACTCGAAGTTCCTATATTCCCAATAGCCCATTATGAAAGATGTCAAGAAAGAGAGCAAACTATGATTGTCCTTGTTATTCTTAGCATGACGTCACTGACTTATGATTACTTTGGTTCTGAGAGAACGTAGTAGAACATTTTCATTTGTAGCCCAAGCTATGGTGTTGTCTCCTTACGTATACGTATTTTATCAGGAAGACATAACTGATGTCTTCTTTCCATAGTCATGAGACTTATCAACATGTTTGCAAGGAGTTTTCTTTTACATAACAGAGGTTGGGGTCTCAGGTCTGATGTTTTCGATTTTCAGAATTAACAGGATAGAAAAGTTCACGTTCACGTAAGTTCTGTTTAATTACATATTATGAATTATTTTTAATTATACTGATTAATTTCAGAATACAATTTAAGAACTCTATGCTTTGATAAATATATCTACTTAAAGAAAGAAGAAGAAAAAGCATTTAATTGTGAGCTCTTCTCTGACAGTTCTTCTTTTACAGACATTAGTTTTCATCAACCTGGTCAATTAGGTAATCTTTTTACTTCAGAGGAGGTAATTTACTTTCTTTTATTATATCAATAAAAATGAAATAAATACAATGCGACTATTCTTTTTATTTGTACAATATAATACAAAAGGTATAAAATTAGTTATGTACACTACTACACATTTAAATATACAAAATTGTGTACATCATCTAGTCCACTAGAGCGTTCACCTTCTTAGGCCGATGTTTTTTTACTTTAATCATACTCTGTGCATTTTTTGCTCCTGTCTCTGCGGACTCTTTACTTCTCTCTTCCATTTTCATTATACTTTCTGCTTTCCTGCGTAACTCTTTTACTTGCAACTGTGATGGCTTAGCGACATTTTTAGGTTTCTCAATTCGTTCCCTTTCTCCCTGTTGCCTCTCTACCTGCTGCCTCTCTACCTGTTTCCTCTCAACCTGTTGCCTGCCATCCCTTTCCCTCTCATCATGTCTGTCATCATGTCTTTCTTCTATCAAACTGATTTCACCTTTTGGTTTCAACCAGTCATTAGCTTCATTTTTAGATATTTGTTTTTCAAATATCACATATCCGTCTTTTGTAACGTATTGTAGAATGGGAGTGAGTAGGTTCTTTTTGCTCCTAGATTCCCTCTTCTTCGACCTGTGCCGACGCTCTGCTCTCCTTGTCATATGTCTCCGTGCAGACCTGCGCCCCTTCCAAAATCCATGTTCACTGGAACTCTCTGATGATGTACCGTCAGATGCTGAAGAATAATCATCACTAGAATTATCGTCATCTGTGTCAGAGTCGTGCTTCTTCTTATGTTTGTTTGGTTTCCGTTTCTTTTTACGATCATGGCGTGAAGGAGGGTGTGGCTTTTTATATGAATGGTCTGGAGAATAGAAGGGCATCACTATGACTGGCAGTTTGTGTGGAGCTCCTCCTACTATCGGCATTGGCATCGGCATGGGCATTCCTGGCATTGGCCCAGGCATTGGTCCAGGCATTGGACCCGGCATTGGACCAGGCATTGGACCAGGCATTGGACCAGGCATCGGTCCGCCAGGTGGGCCCATAGGTCCTGGCATGGGCATTCCTGGAAAAGGTGGTATTGGAATTGGAATCGGAGGAGGATGCTTATCTGGAGGTAGACTATGAAAAAATGAATCAGGTATGGGAGGTAAGGTCGGAAATTGTGGTAGATCTGGAAATGCGCCGATGTTTGCGTTTCTGGGCAACCGGCAATGCATTGGGAGGCTCTGAGGGAAATATTGGGGACTAGTGGGACATGGAGGCAGACTAGGACCGTTCTCTGCGAATGTAGAAGACAAACTAACAAGCAGTAACCAGCGGTGAAGAGTTAGCTTCATGTTTACCTGTAACAATCAGTATACTTTGTAAATAATATTACTAAATTAATTTAAATAGTTTAACAAAATAGACAATTTATAAAACAGTTGCATGACTCACCTTCGTCCATCGGTTGTAACCACCGCGTCGAGAACTAAATCAGGGACACCAATGGAGCCCTAGAGGCTGAGCTGTGCCTTTTGTAAACGTCCTAAGAACAGGTGTTTCGTGTAAAAACAATAGAACCGAGAACCTATTGCGCGACAAACGTTATGCTTACGTAATGACCTCACAATAGCTCTTACGGCTACACATTGACTTTCACAGCTCCTTTACCAAAAACATGATTATACAATTGGAAATTTCCTCTTTTACTTTTCAGGGAACTGTACATCTAGCTAAGGTTTTAAATCCAAATAGAATCTAGGATCTATATTTTGGTATACAATAGATAATCTTTTATCCAACTGAGTTAGGCTTACAGTAAATCACCATTCAAATTCGCTGCGATGCCCTTGTCATCCAAACAAACAATAAACTTATCAAGGCCAGCAAGGTGAGGTCCCTGAGTACCTATTTAAAAAGGGTATAATGATACCTAATTACTATCATGAGATATTTGTAATTTAAACTGAATCTGGTTGGACACAGTAAAAAACCTACAAAAAGGAAATAATTACGTAATTAGTTCAATAAACACATTTGACCTATTTTAATGATGTTGCCCATTATTTTATCATCTCATGCATTAGTTACTCAACCGTTTCCCTTATCTAACCCCTAAATAAGTTTCATTCACCGCTACCACGTATTTATGTAATGTTGTATATAAGTTTACACCGCAGCATTGTGCGGTAACGTTATGCGAGCACTATTTATTGCCGAAATTTCTGATATTCCTTACAATCGACCACCAAACCTGTAGCCTGTCGCTGCTTCGGAATAATGTAGAAAGGTCTCAAACATTAAACAAAAAGTTACTTTTAAACAAGGAAAGTCCAATGGTAACTAAGCATATGTGTTAGCTCTGAATTAATCTAGTTTTTTAATTCTTATTCTAAAGTCACTATTAGTAGTTGACATTTTATAAATAGGTACCTACCTACCTAAGAATTTATTTTGATACATAACAGGAAAACGACTTCTTTTGTTCTTAGAATTATATGAATCTCACAGTTTTATATATTTTTGTGTATCCAGATGTTTCTCAACGTGGTTACGAAATGGGTCTTCGTCCTGCTGATAGGATCTACCTCCTCTCAAGTTATGCCACAAGCACCCTTCGCTTACCCGTACCAACAAGGACAGCCGCCGATGCAGATGTTAAGCGCACCCAATGGTCAGCCACCAATGCAAATGGCTCACCCTGGCTCCATGCCCATGCCTAACGGCGCGCCCATGCAGATGCCCCTCATGATGCCTCACATGCCACGTCTACCTGGCATGCCCTCCGCCCCTATGCCATTCCCCATGCAGTTTCCTCTCCATGGAGGCAGGCTGCCCATGGTAGTGGCACCACATCACTCAAAGAAAGCTGACAGACCTCGGAGGAAGAGCCACAAGAACAAACGCAAGCGCATCAGCATGGACTCCTCGTCCAGTGAAGGCTCGTGTTCACAAAGTGCGGAGTTTCGCTCCAGGAACAAACTAAGGACCTCAAAGAAGAAGAAGCATGAGGTGCTGACTCCTGTGGTGTCGTATGTCACGAAGGATGGTTACGTAGTCTACCAGAAGAAGATCAAGAAAGACAAGGCGAAAGACTGGCTGGAGATGACGAAGGGAGAACATGACAGCGAAGAGGATAAGATTAGGTTCAAACCCCGTGACCACGACCATTAACATTCTCGGCATTTTTTTATAGTTTTACAATTATAAAGATCTCGTTATGTATAATTTTATATTGCTTTGCTAAATGATAGAATACATAAAATAAAGCATGTTGCAACTACTTACATTATGTTTTTTTTACTTACTTTATATTTGAGCTGCGTTAAATGAAAAATTAAATAGTTTTCAATTTCGACTTATAACAATACCATTTTAAATTACAAGTAACGCCATCTCTTGTCTCCAAAGACAACTATAGTTACAATAAAAATTTTAACTAGTCGTACAAGAAACAAGCGATTCCTTTATCGCTTGAAGTTTATGATTTTACAAATGTTGGCGTTTTGTGATATTGAAAATATCTAGATCAAATCAGGCCGATAGAGCAATCTATCGACTCGGGGTTCGTCTACTAAGAGGACCCAGTGCCTCCTTCAAGTGTATGGTGGTCACCGGGGAGGTTGTAGTGAGGTAAAAATCCCATACTCCCTAGTCTTTTTCCCCAAAAAGCTAGACGCCTTTTGAAGGTTTCCCCCGTCAACGTCCAGATACTAGAAAACAGTAAGTACTAAAAGAGATTACAATTTTATAATACTTGTATTTTATTTAATCCATTAGGGAGTCCCTCTCTGCACGAAACCACTTGTCTTTTTATCAAATTAAGTAGTGCATTACCTAAATTATGAAAATAGTATTCTAAAAAACTAATAATTTTAAACACATTTTAGATAAGTAAATTTTACATCCTCTATGGATACCAAACAGCCACTGAGCCACAAACCACTCTTTAGACTTTAGAAGTATTAGGTTCTGAGATGTTTTTTAAGGTCTGTAGCATAAGCAACCTCGGTTTATCTATTTTAGTAAGACGAAGCCTCGGGCAACACCAGGTGCAACAAGTATGTACGGCAGCTAAAACGGTACCCATATATCACAAAAATCTTCTGGTATATTTATTGAGGCACTCAGGTGCATATTATTATTAGTATTTCACTTGAAGCAGCTGCCAACTGCCCTCCACAATCGTCAACTCAAAAAAAATGGATAATACTACAAACTAATTCCCGAATGCCGGAGGGTCCGCGATGCAAGGATAGGGGTTCTGCCACTTTTGAGATCTTTGGTTTTGGGATCTTGCGGCAGGTTTGGTTCTTTAAAAAAAATTAAGATTCTCATATCAGTTGCATAGTCACGTAAAGCACTGACATGACCTTCCCGTGACTAAGTTATTAACGGCAATTTTCGAAATTTTCATCATTTTGAAATAGCTTAAACAAACCTTAAATAATAGCAATTTAACAAGTCAATCGCAGAATGAACCTTAGTAACACTCAACAGTTACATATTTGAACAAATAGAGGTAAATAGAAGACATAACTACACATATAGAGATGAACATAAGAACACAAGTAGGTGTACGTTACTTGAGTCCAATATTCCAAATCGACCGTACGGTGAATATTTACGTGGTATCCAGTTGCATCATAATATTGGGGGATCTTTCGATTTATAGAATCCGGCACTCAGTAAAAATAGTTTTCTATATGGGAAATGTTGCAGCTCACGGATAACACGATGTTAAGTGAGCAGAGGGTTTATTTTTCTGATTCAACCAATCATTGAAGTAGGCTAAAGAACGCCAAACGTTTTTTTTTTGTTAATGCGTAAGCGGATGCGGAATTGGGAATTTGAGGATTGTGGAGGATTCGGGGATTCGGGAGATGGGGACTAGGGAGGGGGGTAATTGGGCCTCCGGTAACCTCACTCACACGACGAAACACAACGCAAGCGTTGTTTCACGTCGGTTTTCTTGAGGCCGTGGTATCACTCCGGTCGAGCCGGCCCATTCGTGCCGAAGCATGGCTCTCCCACACTTAAACGTGTTAACGTTTCGATCTCGTTAACATATTAAACAAACTTGGACTAAGTCCTTAAAGTCTATGGACGCTTGCTTGAAACAAGAATATAAGGTGCGTTGCCAACCTTTTTGAAGAAGGACAGGAGGGAATACAACTGAACTACGGCTCTATCTACCTTCAAAACTAGCAGGTGGTAAGTTACACATTGCCCACTTGACGTAACCTCAGCCGAATAGAGTTGTACAGAAAACAATGAAAGCGTTTTATATAAAGACATGTAACAGCTCGATATATGTTCAAACAATAACCACAAGTAGGCTGCAGTGGACTTACTGAGGACACACGTGAGTTGGTTTACATTTAAAGTTAGATAAATTTGGAAGGGGAGATCTAATTGAATAGTTAACGATATCATCACTAACTAATCTATCTCTGTTGCAAGTTTCATCATAATCCGTTCAGTAGTTTCGCGTGAAAGAGTTACATTTAACAAACATAATACATCCATGCATATATTTTTTATAATTATGGTCTAAGTAACCTGGCAAACGAGTGAACAAGTACCTAATAAGTACCTATACATCTAATCTTCTTTTTTCAGAGCACAACAAGAAGAAAACGATGGCAAATACAAAGGTAGGTAAAGTTAATAACAACAACAATATTAGTCAGCCTCTGTCGTCAGTGGATAGACGTGAACATTCATTCTATTTTCCCCGAATGACAAATACATAAACCGCAACCAATTATAAATTCAGGATTATTTATTTTAAATTACAGTGCCAGATTAATTAATTAATTAAGTACATAACATGGCATTATTATTCATTATCATGAGATTATTCACGTCATTTACCCAAAATAATACTCAAATTGTTTAATCAATTTCACTAAACTGGGAATAATAGCTATCACATTTATTGCAGGCGCTTCTAAAAATATTCATCATCCTCCCAATAATCATGATGTCGACTCTGAGGCTGTATAAAAACTGTGAGCGATGTGATATTCCTGCAGAAGTCATCAAGACTCAACCAAAACCTTACTGGCCGTGGTTACCAGGCTACAAGAGTGACCAGCCAGGATACGTGTGGCCGCTGTACTTTACTGGGTGACGAGACTATGGTTCAAGATTAGTTTAATAACTAGAACGAAACGGATTATAAGTAATTATTTGGTTGCATTGTACATTTTAAAAATACGTAGCCCTTTATCTACTTACCTAAGTAATGTTTTCTACCATTTTTATTTATCTTTGTACTGTTATTTTGCATTATAATTTGTAAGTGGTTTTTTAGATTTAGGTATGTTTATACAACATGTTTTGTAATAAAAATACTTTTTGTATTACCTATGTCATTTGAATTCAATTTTGCACACCCAATATGACGTACCTTACTGAAAGTTTTGAAATAATCGTCTACTCAGTTTTATTACTTTCAAACCCCTAAAATTACATAATCAAACAGCTGCAGTTCACGTGCAGTATTTAAAAGTGTACTTATACAACTGTTCATTTCAGTACAATAGTCAATTAAGTACCTTCCTTCATTACATAATATCTGACAAATTACTAAGTGTGGGAGAGTCATGAATGGGCCGGCTCTACCGGAATGATACCACAATCTTTTACAGAAAACCGAAATGAAATGCTTGCATTCTGTTCCGAGCATAGATCTATAATAAGGTTTCGAGTGAGCCATCAGTGTCAATGTCATAAGTGGTTACCGTAGGTTCAATTCCTCGCCTCTCCCCGATCCCCAAATCCCGAATCCTCAAATTCCTAACCCCCAAAAGTCCTGCAATGCACTTCTGACTCCTCTGGTGTTGTGGGTGTCCATGGGTGGCGCCGACTTTTTGATCATACCATCAGGTGATCAGACATCAGACACAAAAAAAAATTGTAATGCTAAAAATATCTTTCTGAACAACACTTAAACAGAATAAAAAAGACATTAAATGACCATCGAAGGCGCTATGTCAATGAATCTTTTGGATTAAAAATAAAAAAAATACAGTAAATCAACACAAGATTAAAAACTTGTGTAGGAATAATACGTTTTATTAATTATCTGTAACAACAACAGCAGTCATTGAATTTTGACAAGATACTTCAACTAACTGTTGAAATTTGACATTAGCGTTCTGTCAGTCGCGTGATAAGACGAGGTGAAGACGTGAGTGTGCGGTCGGTTCACTGTGTTTTTTATTGTTATACCGGTTATGTTTTTAACAAAATTGATGTCCAAACATGACATTTACTTTAAACTCCTTATCTAGGCAGTGTTGTGCAAATTCTGTAGGTGATTAAAGGTTGTTTAGTGGTGTGGTGTATAGTCAGAATTTTAATTAGATTCCAGATTTGACAATAGCTACTGTCATTTTGTGAAATAATGATACCACATATAATAGTGTAGTGATGAACACAAAAATCGATAAACAATCAGTGTGTGTGTTTTATAATAAATGTTACAGAAAGTGACAGGATAGCGATAGCGATGACGGCGACAATTTATAAAATAACTTGTTACCATATTACATCTATCTGTTTTATTTGTCATGTTCCTACATGGTCACATTTTTTTATTTATTTCACACACAATTATAAAAGAAAAGTCTCAGATCGTTGATTAATCGTCAAAACTAAATGATCGGTTCAGAAATATTTAATTTCCTGATATACTTAGTTTACGAGAGTAAAATTATAAACGAGAAGAATCGATCCAGAAATATTGCATTTCCATATCGAATAATTTCGCAACGTCACTATTTAGTACTTGTCATAACGTTGCAACACTGAAATTGTCAAATCTGGAATCGAATTAAAATTCCGAGTATAGTGACTATGTGTCGATGAAGTAGGAATCTTGTTTGAATTGTGTTGTTAAGTTCCAATAATTTTACGAAAATGGATTCTACAACGGACAAGGATTGGAAGAAGAACCTGGGTTTCCCGATAAACTACAATTCTGCGAGCTCAGACGATGAATTGTGAGTGTTAATTTAATTATCAAGTTGTAGAGATATGCGCCGTATTTCTCCCGCCTCTCCGCTAATATCATAACTTCGTGTTATCAAAAATATAATTCACAGATTTTTTAATAAACTTCCTAGTCCGCTTATCTCTTCAAGATGTGCACAATGAATACAAGA